AAAATAATTAAATTTGATACTAAATTAATTTTACTTTAATGCTTCATTTTTTTTCGTAAAAAATTCAGCCCATTATTTACTCGTTCATTTCATACTTCGATTGAAACACARTTTGAAATGGTTTACGACAGATTTATTTCACTAAAATTATTTTTCTTAGTAATATTTAGAAAAACCTGATAAAACACATTAATCATTTGTTCGACATTCGTCCGTTTAATAATGTTCATTAATCTTTTTTTTTTTATTGTCAACATCTAAATGGACATATTTACATATAATATGCGTATGAACATCTGTTAAAACATTTACATTTAATTCAATAAAGTGCTATAAATGGTAGCATTACCCACAATTGTAAGTATTAGGTGTCGCCATCCTTAAAAATGACTATGGACCATTTGCTTCGTTCTTTAATCATCATCGGCTTGGCTATTCAGTAAGTTAATTTATCTTATTCATTATATATTTTTATTGTTAAAATACTAAATAACAAAATGTATGATTTTATAATTTTAAAATCGTTTTGAAATTATGATTATGATAATAAATTTGTACTGTAAGCAACGAATATGAAAATCTCAATTTTATCCTAAATTTTATATGAGAAAACTCTATTCTGATTACAAAAATAAATGGGTGGTATTTTTGAAAGTAACTAATTTTTACTTTAATCATATTTTCTAATTATAAAGTCTAAACAAAAATATATTTATGAAATTAATAAATATTTTATTTAAGAGCACTAAAAATTAGAATAGGGCTTAAATCCATTCTAATGATTAAATTAGATTTGAGATACAATACAACTTTATTTCCTGTATTCATTATAATATTATGTTATACATTTATATCATATAACTATCATGATAATACATGCATATTGTAAATGTAATACACATACATTAAACAATTTTACACACATACACCACACCTAGGTACTACGAGTAGATGTAATAAATTGCTAAAATGTTTAATTTAACTAGGGCTTTACCTTTAATGTAATCGACGTAGAATATYAAAAATATACCAAAATAATTTAATATTCCATATCTGGTTCACTTACCTGGTTTTTTTTATTTGAGTACTACACAATAGGTTCTATAATTTTCCTTCTCATTTTAACAGACTTAGGATTTGTTACTGTCTATAATCTATCTAAATCAATGGTGCTAAAAATGTTTTTTTCACAATAAGTTTAAATTATTATAATTTTACTAGTTATGATATAAAACTAATATAGGTACAATACCATACATTTATGTCGTATACATTTTTACCGACATAAAACCGATTTTTCCAAATAATWTTTTTTATTATTATTTTAAAATATAATATCATATTATAATGTAGATATTTTTTATGAATTTTGATTTTTAAAATTTTTAATATTTGTTTTAGTATTTTACCTATTAATTTTGTATTTTATCATAATTATTAAAATTCTAATAATTTTTATCTAAATGATAWAGAAACTATAAAAAATATTTTTAACCATTCCTTTGGTTTAAATCAGAAGGCACCAAATAGCATCCCGCAAGCCTTATGCGGACAAATTTTATCCTGTCCACAGAAACGATATAAAAAGTAAAAACCGATAATATTCTTGTTCTGGTGTAGTAGCTTATYATTTTTTATCATTGGTTTTTACCAAATTTGCAATTTATATGTTCCGTGAACAATATCAAGATTCCTTTTGAAAAACTATGAAATGGTGACCTCGAGTGTAATTAAACCATAGACAGTCCTGTGTTCGTTAATATGAGAAGGAAAATGAGGTTACAACCTTTTTGAAACATTTTAATATTTTAACATTTCACATTTTAAAAATATCATAACCTAGGTACTAAAAAAATAATTTTATCAATAAAAGCCTTTGTTTATGTTCTAGCGTTTTGTAAAAATAATAAATTCACCTCTTTGCAGTGTATCTAGTATATTTAACATGTCGTATGAAAATTATATGTCGTCATTATATGGCTTAAAATAAATAAAATTACTAAAAATTGCCAGGGGCGTAGCTAGCAATTTTTKTTTTGGTAGGCCTACTATAAAATTTCTACTCGCCGATAGAAATGGAGGCTTTTCCCAATTTTTTTATAAGCCTACCATAATTTAAAAGTTATTAATGAYTATTTTTACCAATATTGAATAATTAATAACTTAAAACAAAACAAATTGAACCAAAAAATTAGTAGATAGTTTCAAAAGAGAAATTTTTATTTAAGTACCTAAATACGAGAGTTTTACAAAATAAAATTATAAATATTAACTATTATAYTCGTAACTAATAATATACGTATTGTTAATTTATAATCTATTTTCAAAGTAAAAATTCTAATCTTCTTCATGAAAGCAAACTCGTCAATAACAGCTGATGGATTACCCATAAATTGTCCACTTATTTCCCTATCTATGGAAAGTAATGTCAAATCATTTAGTCTAGAACTTTTTATAGTTGATCTGACATACCGTGAAAACTCTTCTCATTGTTGAAAAGCTTCTTTCAGCTGAAGCACTAGATAGGTACAGGAATTACAACAATGAGTTAAWTTACTTTAATTCTTCAAATCCAACTTGATAACTTTGTACTTGATTCAACAGTTCATGAAAACCAGAACTAGATGAAAATAATGTTTTACCTAATGCACATTGATATTTTAGTTTAATAAGAAATTCATCAGATCAATAAAATGGAAAAGTTTTTGCAAAATTACATAGTGTTTTACAGTCTAAAAATTCTTTGGTTTTGGTCTAATACACCTAAAACTGTATAAAACTCACMATTTTCATCAAATCGCCTGTTAATTTCAACACATATGATATCCAAAATAGTATAAAATATTATTTTAAGTTCAGTTTTTTTTCTCATTTGAAAAATACGTCTTTTACCAGTGGTAAAAATTACCTACGTAATAGAAGTTACATAACAATCTACCATTCTACTTGGAACTTGAAACATCCTATTTGAAGAAACATCAGTATTTGAGAAAGTAGATACGTTTGCATTTTCTGCAAATATTAATGAATGTTCATATAATTCATRGAAATTATTATCCTCACGTAAATCCAAAATTTGTTTTTTTGTTGCCTTAACATAGTGCACTGTTCTATATTTAAAGTAGATGACTGTAAGATAATTGAAATACAGTTTACGATGTTTAATATTTCATTTAAGCAAACAAGTATGACAGTAACTTTAAACTTGGCAAACTGTAAAATCAATCCCTCCGTAAAACTTAATATCTCAATAAAACTTTATRACAAAAATTTTGTAAGCAACAAATTTATCAATTATCWATTTTTCTATATTATCTCTWGTATATAGTGCGATAGTTCTAATGATATTTTAATAACATAGCCATCGTGATGTAGCCAAATTATTATAGTGATTTAACAATAAACGTGTATAAGTATCTTAATATTATTATATTTAATATTATTGGTTTTTTTTTTTTTTGAGAAAATCTGGGTAGGCCCGGACTTTCCTACTGACTACACCCCTGAAAATTACAAGTATACTGATTATACAAGTATATGCTTTCTATACTTAAAATTTTAAATACTGGTTGAAATTATTCATAAAAAATAATGCATCTAACAATAAAATAATATTAAATGTATTGTTTTAGGCTTTGCGATGGAACATGCTACTGGAGTGAACCAAAACAAAAAAAGATATCAATCAGCTCATGTTCAACTAGTAGTTCTTCAACTACTGTTAGAACATCATCGAAATTCAATGTTTTAGATTCAAAGGCTAAAATTGAAGATCTTGAAAAAGGTCTGAAAAAAATTAGCACCAACTCTCGAGAAGATAACAGTGAGGAAAATGATGAAAGTCGTGAAGACTTAGAATATAGGGATAGYCAATCATCACGGAAATTACAAAGATTTGTTCAAAGCCGCGTTCTTTCTAAAAAAATTAAGAAAACACTAAAAAAGTCTGCTAAAAAGATCTTAAGGAAAAATATTGTTCCTTTGGTCACAAACAAAATTGTTGGGTCTGTCATGACCAGATCTACTGGTAATGACTTTGAAAAAATGATGCTGCAAAGTAGAGGCGCAACTATTACATCAAGCACAAACACTATGGGTATCAATGGAAACATATTTCTGACAATACCAGAAGGATATGTAGCCAGTACAACGACAATAGCAACAACTAGGTATTTAACTAACGAAGAAGCTATTCGTTTAGGACTTTTGAGTAATACATTAGTTAGTGGAAGCCAAACATATTCGTCTAATCAAAATGGTGCACAATTTAGTTCATCGGGAAGTAGTGCTAGTAGGTCTATCAATAGTGGGATGACGCTAGAACAAAACAATGGAAATTTATATTATTTAAATAGTAATACTGGGAATATCGCAAGATCAGGGAACTTAAATAGTATTGATGGAAATTCACAATATTTTARTAAATATACATCAGTGCGTAATAATATGAACAATAATATGCATTATACAAATAATAAACATACTATGGGTAGATTGAATAATTTAGAAAGAACTCATTCGTTGCAGCATAAAATTAATCAACTTAAAACATCAAATAATGGTGAAGATAATACAATTAATGGTGACTATAAAAATAACCAATTATTAGGTGTTACAAATAATTATAGAAATGTTGAAACTTCTGAACGTATCAATCAACTAAAATTAAATGATAATAATGAAATAAATAAGAGCATTAATAGTTATCAAATTAATCACTTACGTAAAACAGTAAATTCAAAACATATTCAAAAAGGTAGCACTAAAAACGATGCTATAAAATCTAATAGACGCGATTTTAATAAATTAAATTATTCAAAATCTTTTGAAGACTCAAATAATGACCAAAATAATATATCAAACTCAATAAGTAAAGAAATCGTAAAGAGTAACGAAGATGGAGATGATAAAACAGAGGATAAATACGATGAAAATGATAAAACTGAGAATAATGACAGTGAAAATGATAAAGTTGAGATAATCAAAGATGAAAAAGACAAAAGTGAATATGATGATSAAAATGACAACACTGATGATAACAATGAAAATGATATAACTTATGATAACAATGAAAATGATATAACTTATGATAACGACGATGAGGATGATGACAGTGAAGAGCAAGAAACATTAGAAGACGAAGTATCGGTATATGAATATTTGAATACATTCCAGAAGTTTAGATTTGATAATGGTTTGAATTCTATTGATATAATAAGAGAAGTTTTAAGTCAATTAGATTATCAACGGTACAAACTCATGGATGATATTATATATCCTCAGGACTCCACACGTTATGTCATAGACAATGAAGAGTTCGATTTTATCATAATTGGTGGTGGTAATGCGGGAAGCGTTCTAGCAAACAAGCTATCTGAAAATATAAAATGGAAAGTATTATTAATTGAAGTAGGCGGAGACGCCTTACCTACAACTCAAGTTCCTTGTTTATGGGACAGAACACTAAATAGTGTTGCAGACTACCAGTATAAAATACAACCAGATAATACAACTGGATTTGGACTTGATGGCAATATGATAATACATAAAGGAAARTGTTTAGGAGGAAGCAGCACCACAAGTGCTCAAATTTATGTTAGAGGAAGTGAACAGCTATACAATTCTCTTGTTCAAAAAGGCTTAAAGGATTGGTCTTACAATACAACGGAGACTTACTTCAATAAGGTCGAAAAAATTCGCTTTATTACAAAAACTGAAACAAACACTACTATTTATGGAAAATGTGGACTTATCCCTGTTAGCAAATTCCGAAAAACTGAAGTAACCGTTTTGGAAAAAATTTTATGTTCTGGTTTTGAACACATAGGTTGTAAAAAAGAAAGTGACATCAACAAAAAAGACATTGAAGTTGGATTTGTTTCAATGCAAGGAATAATAAGGAACGGTAGGACTATTAATACTGCTAAGGCATATCTGAGCCCAACTTTCGGCCGTAAAAACTTAAAAGTTATGAAATATTCTAGAGTTACAAAACTTATAATAAATAAAATAGAAATGAAAGCGACCGGAGTTGAAGTACAGACAAAATTCGGTCAAACTTTAACACTGAAATCTAAATTAGAAGTTTTACTCTGTGCTGGGGCTATTGGTTCTGCTCAGATATTGTTAGCCTCAGGTATTGGGCCTAAAAAGCATTTGTCCGAAATGGAAGTTCCAGTGGTCAAAGACTTAAACGTAGGTCAGAATTTACTAATTACTCCAGTATTTACTGGCKTTGTTATCTCMTACGACAAATCAATTGTTTGCAACCAGACAGATGAAGAAATTGCATTCAAATATTTAGCTAGAAATTCGGGACCCTTAAGCAGACCAAATGGTATGAGCTTTGGTGGATTTTTAAACACTGGTATGTCTGGATCTTCATTCGCTGATATTGAAGTTCATCAATTTTATATTCCCAAAAACTCGTATTCAAAATTATGCCAACTAAAATCAATTTTTGGATTTAGTGATAATTTATTGTCGGTGTATGCGAAATTGAATCACGAACGTGCTATTTCTATTTTTACAATAGCTTTGATAAACACAAAAAGTATTAGCAAAATTCTTTTGAGAAGTAAGAACCCATTGGACAGTCCGATTATTGTTGGCAATATGTTGACTGATAAKCGCGATGTAAAAAGTTTTCTAGAAGCCATCAAATTACTTTCCAAAATTGAGAACTCTGATGGAATGAAGTTAGTAAATGCGAAGTTAGAAGGTATTGATCTTGACGGATGTGCAAAATACAAAAAAAATACCAATGAACACTGGGAGTGCTTATTAAAATATATGGTGTCTACAACGTCAAGTACTGCTGGATCGTGTCGTATGGGATTAAAAACTGATTCTGATGCTGTTGTTGACAGCGAACTGAACGTGATTGGTATTTCTAATTTGAAGATAGTGGGTCGATCAGTTTTACCATTTATTACTAGTGCTTACAGTCAAGTGCCTTGTATTATGGTCGCTGAAAAGGCATATGATATAATAAAAAGTAAATACAATTAACATCCAAACTACTCAATTGAGCAAATTGAATATAATTTTAGAATATGGCACTGTGCATTATTACGATATTCATTAAAAATAAGAAGGAATCAAGTTCTCTTTACCTAAAATAAATAAATAAAATACTTAGTATATTAAACTTGTTCTTTTTCAACTCGGTAACCTTATCACTATAAAATCATTTCCTTGTTATTTAAAAACATATCAATGCATTATTTGGTTTTAATAATCACATCTAATCACTTTGGTAAAATAATATTTTTACAATTAATTATAAAGAGTGGTTTTATACTTATACTTAAATGAGCTTTCTTAAGGGTTTTTATTTACAATCTATACAACMTGCGTCATGCATATTACTTAATCATGATGAATTGATGACAAACAAAATAAGTATAATTCTTGCGAAATTCCTGTAAATATAGCATTTACCTATTTCATTCATTGAGAATTTAATAATATCTTAATGGAATTTTCTTATTCCATGCTATTTTGGTGAATTATCAAGAAATGAGGCCGACAATTGTTGTTTAATTAAAGAATTAAAATGGCTACTTAAAATAGAATTAAAATTAGAGTACCTAGTGTGATTAAGTTAGTTCGTTAAGTGGAGGTATTTTAAAGTCTCTATTTAGATTTTTTATGAGTAGTTTACCACGAGGTACAGTTAATTCACAGGCAGATTGAATGGAACATCRTTTAGGTAATGACATATTAGGTTAGGTTTTTGTATAAGAAAATGTCCAGACAATAAATTAATAAACAAATTGTGAGAATCGTACTTTGTTTTCATTATTTAAGTACTAACTAATAATTTCCTAGTATATCATGAACATATAAAAATATTTTTGTTAGTCCCTACTCCCTATGCCCTATGGTATCATGTGTAGACAGCAGCAGATGTATGTCGATGAGTATTAAAGATTTCACTTATAATAAGTGATAGAAAAATGTGTATTACTTATTTTAAAAATGTTCACTAGATTTGACTATGAGCATCACACACACACAAATACACAATCACTTAATTTTATAATTTTTAAATAACCATGTTTCCTAGGTTAATAGTTCTTACATACAGTACCTATTCGTTTTTAGTTAACAAAAAACTCATATACAAAAATTGTTCTTCATTTATTATTTTATTGTATTAATTTATGAATAGTCATTTAGCAGAGTTGCAACATTATTTTTCTTACCCTATACATTGTTARACATGCAAATTTACAGCTAACAATGTTCGTGACTATGAGGCCCTCGGGTGAATTGGTTGTTATAAAAAGTTTTTAAATGTTACGGGAGAAAAATAAATGGATAGATGGCGCCAAAACTATATATTATTTCTTTTTCCAGAGTGCATAATATATAACTACCCCACATAAAGSATTTTTAGGTTCTTTAAGCAATATGGTGAAGACTATCATGAAAATTAGCTCCGCAGTTTTTGAATTTATTGAGCACAAACAAAATAAACGCATACTCTTTACATAGTTACATATACCTTATTTTATACCTAATCTCTAKTAATATTAAAAAATGTAGGCGATTTCGAAGTATTAGATATAGATGATTATTTATGTTTGAAAGTTAGAATTCCTTAGGAAGCTAAATTAGGTAGTAAATTCATTCATTTTTGAATCATATAAAGTCTTTATACTTAGTAAAAAGTATTAAGTTTTAAGAATTATTTTTTTAAATAATTAATAAACACATTGCTCAACAACATATTATTATATTGACATGATATTGTCATGTTGTATATTTATTTCTAATATACATGGATAATGGATATTGCCTATCGATAAATTATTTTAGTCAGAAAAATAAATTTCAAATTACCGTAAAGCGTTGTTCAAATTGAGATGACATRATGGACTATCTATTGCATTTTGGGTAGATCGCATACTAAAAGTTTCAAAATTTTTGTTTATTATTTAAATAATAAGAAAACACTGTACCCACCTGATTAATTATCGCATAGGGTTTATTTTTATTGTATTGTATTTTTTTTAAACAAATATTTAAATATATACCGACATTCAGCTGTCGAGCAAGTAATCCTTGGTAATGATATACTTATAAATAGTAACATTTAAACAATTATTAAAACTATTAAATTCATTATTTACAAAAATAATATAGTAAGTGTTTTTAAATACTGAACTATATATTGTTATAAATATTATGTGGGTTTCTATGTTACATCAAGGAATTAAAAATTATCTGGATGCTTTTTTTCAAAAATTAAACATTCTCTAGTTCCTATTTTTATTGTTCAAGTCAAGCACTACYTATTAGTATTAATTACTATCAATTATTATCTTTATACATGTGTATACAAACATTGAACATGATAAATGTTATYGTAGAACGTTAAAATAATATGCTCAAGAATATTTTTTAACAATATTTAAAGTCAAAAAAAATATTTTGAGGTCAATTATTATAAAAAAAATGAGATTTATTCTGAAACAAAATTTTTATAGCTTCTATTGTACTGGTAACAGCATAAATACGACACATTTCTATTTCTGACAATTATAACAATAGATACGTTCAGAAAATATATTCATTACATTTATCGTGATTCATCAAAGCCTACTCATTTTGGACACAAATATGTATTTCATTAGTGGAATGAATTGACCGCAATTATAGAACATCCATTCAATATACTCGCATAATGTTAATTTACAAAATATCCCAAATCAATCTATTGTGGATTTATTTAAAATTAAAATAATTTAGTATAATAAATACACATTTAAAAGTTAAAACTAGATGCTCGCCTAATGCATACAATATACATGATGATATGATTTTCCAATATGTGGCGACTGGTGGATAACATAAAATGAAAGTGATCAGCGGTCTGTATGAAACCATAGGCGTAGAATGGAAGGTCTACAGGAACCCCCTGTAATTATGTTTACCCTCCCCTCAAGTATATTTGTTTAGTTACATTTTTACAATATATTATGTTATGTACCAGCAACACGGTAGGCTAAAGGACAACCTGTTCCTATATAATATTATATATATTGTACAGTGGCGTAATTAGGAATTTGTCTTGTGAAGGGAGGGGGGTAGAGATTTTTTTACTATACGCATACATATTTATAGATTTCGTTATATTCATTATATTAATAATTTCCATTTAAATATAATTTTTCGTGATATCATTAGACATAACCCCAAATGTTACAAATTTATAACTAAATAATATACGATACGAGTATATTTATGTTATTATTTATTAAAAAGGCTCTGAGAGGTATATCCCTCTTAATCACGCCACAGATATTTTGAAATATACATATATCATATTATAATATACCCGATATAAGTACTTATATGAATATGCGTTGAGTCCAGAGTACCTATATAATATATATAGTACTTATGTATACGAAATATAATATATTGAGAGGTATCTGCCTAAATTATTTCGTGTAAATCAAAATGGTAGGTGTACAAAAATAGAAATAGAAATTTATGATTTCCGTATATTTTAATAATTATAATAATAATAAATTGTAAAAATTTACTTACAACAATCCATATGATAAACAATATTTAAGAAACATTCTACAAAATTTATTTTAAAAATACAAAACGTCACATAAACTAGTATACATTGAAACGTAAAAATGCATTACCAATATTAGCAAATATCATAATTTATAATTATAACAATAATTGTTATTCCTTTAGGTTTAATTATGAGATATACAATTCAACAATCGTAAGTCGAGGCAAGTGTAGGGTAGGCAACAAACATATTTTATGTTTGGTACGCGTCTTCGATATTATCGTTAAGGTATTTGCTCGTCTAAAATGACGAAAGTAGTTAAAAGAATTGGTTTTTAAATATTCATCACGTAATAACTGATATAATATTATCAAAATTTAAAACTAACGGACAAGCAGGTGGCAATTTACTGACGGTATTAAATATTATTGATTTATTATTGAGTACCTGCAATACACAATATATCCTACTACGCATCAAAGTTAAACGACGTGCTTATTTAAAATAATATGAGAAAAATTTAATATAATTTAGCAAGTTCAAATAACGAATTACGATTATTAAAATTGATAACAATATAATAATATGATAAACTAATAAATTCAAACTTTCAAATTACGGAAAACACTTATCTATGCTAACAGATCCGGGTTGCATAAAAAATTGATTTATTAAATTTTTTAATCACTAAACTTAATTAGACCAATAACGGCCCACATAAGCAAGTATAAGGAGCTTTTAGCTCACTAACTATTTAATAAATAATTAATGATCTTTTATTCAACCCGGCATATGTACATTGCTAACAATATTATGGGTAACGGTTGCATTTTAGTTTTATTGCTACAATAGGAGCACTCATAACAATTTAAAACAGTAGTCTAATTTCACAATTTTACATCTAAAGTATAGCTGGTATCTATGATAAGTAATTGCACAGTATAGTTAAACGGTACGTCCCTGGCATTACAATATTGCCTATAATAATTATTGTTGTTTTATTATCCAATAAAATTACGTATTATTGTATTACCTACTAAGGGACAGAAAAAAAAATGTCACAAATACCAGTGTTATATTGACTAGTGACAATTTACGCCATATTGTATGAATTTCTAGATATTTATGTATTCATCTGTGATTGTTACATTGCTACGTTCCATATGTTTACAAATTGTCAATATCATTATTATATCGATTCATCGTACTACTATTGAGTCGATAGATCTATAGAAAATAAATAAAAATTGAGGGTACATTTTGATTTCTTTCATAAAAATTAATTACTTTGATCTTATTATTTAATTTTGTTTTTTTTTTTTGCTTATAACAAATATATTTTATCTTGAATAATCTTATGCTCAATATGTTTTGCTGTCAACGCGTAACGCGTCTACATGGCAAGTATTTATTCATAACATGAATGTTTTATTCAAAGAGAAAATTAATGCTTGTCTTGACTTAGTAATGAATGTTTAGTTTTCAGCTTGATTGCACGATGAGCTGCAAAATATGRAAGAATAGTTATTTCTTGATATTTTAGTACGATATAAAATTTACACTTAAATATTACACATTTACAATCGATGAATCGAATTTCGGATGTGC